CTAAAAGGGACTCTAGCCAAGCTATGCCAAGAACTTCAGGGTGTCTGCGAACCTGGGTGTCTATGTTACCCATAGGCCTCGTGCGAATGAGAGCTGCACCTAAAGAAAAATCACAAGTTAGCCCCTTTGAGCTTGTGATCCTATACGATAAAAGGCTAATATGCAAATCGACTGAACAGAGGAACCATCGGTCACAATGACGTGCACTGACCACCAGGGGGCAGACGCTCAACACAGTGCCTGGGTTGTAAACTCGGTCACCACTGGGGCTGTGCAGGAGGCAGCCAGCTGATGGATGCTTGAGCTCTCTCATAAATGTTTCTCTCCCTTCCTCTCTCTGAAATCAATAAAAGCATACTGTGCCGAGTCCCTCCCAGGCTGTCTTTCCTCTCACGTGCCTCACACAGGGCCCTTTAGTTCTGCACCCTGTCCTAAGCAAAGTTCAAGGTCAAATGCCTTCCTCCGGGACTTAGCTCCGGGACCTAGCTCCAGGACACAGACTCTCAGGACACAGGCCCTCCTCCCACGCCTCCCCCTGTGGTGTCTCCCCAGTGTGAGTGAGCCATGCTCAAGGCCACCAGAAAGGCCAGGACAGCCCGCACAGCTGGTGCAGGAACACGCACAGAGCAAGTGGGGTGAGCGGTTCCTCCTGCTGGTCTGTTCCTGCTACACCCCTCTGTCCTCTCCCCTCTGCTTATTGTGTGGCACAAGCGTTCCTAGACTCCTCATCCCCAGGCACCCACTCTGGCCGGCTCGGATAAGGGGGAAGGAGGGGCCATTAACAGGCAGACAGGCCCAGCCTCTGAGCCCTCTGGTGGCCAAGCCCCAAGGCTGTAATATCCTGGCCCTGCCCACAGGCCTAGTCTGAGGTCAAAGGTTGGTCCAGAGACCTGAGAAGGGCCCCAGGATGCCAGCCCAGTTGGAATGGTCCTGACCAATGGGAGGGAAGGAGGCACAGATCAAGCAGGGCTGCAGGGGTGTGAGGTGAGAGACCCTGAGCCCGGGGAGCAGGGGGAACTGAGGAGGGACGAAGCCCAGGTGGTAGGGGCAGCTGCCAGCCTCACTGCTCCCAGGACACAACTGTGAACACAAGACTCTCCCTGGCTTGGGGGACAAAGGTTGGCATCCAAGGGGCATGGGATGGGCCCAGCAAGAGCCCCCCCAAACTCAGCTTCTTTCTCTTGAACCGGCAGGAACCCCAGTCAGCTCTGCAAGGTCTGCTGCCCCATCCCCACCTCCCTGGCCTTCCTCTGTGCGGAGAGACTGTTCAAGGACATCACTGGCTGAAACCGGTTTGGCTCAGTGATAGAGCGTCGGCCTGCGGACCAGACTGAAGGGTCCCAGTTAGGTTCCGGTCAAGGGCATGTATCTTGGCTGCAGCACATCCCCAGTAGAGGGTGTGCAAGAGGCAGCTGGTCGATGTTTCTCTCTCATCGACGTTTCTAGCTCTCTATCTCTCTCCCTTCCTCCTCTCTGTGAAATATCAATAAAATATATTTTTTTAAAAATAAAAAATAAATAAAAACAAAAACAAAAACAAGAAAACGACATCACTGGTGCAGACTCTCAAATTACATCTGCCTCCATCAAAGAGGGAAGCAGCAAGGCCCTGGATGGAGACCTAAGGTCAAGACCAGAGGGAGGAATGCAGTGTGGGCACTCCTGGGGGTCCGCCCAGAGTCTGACTCACATCCACGATATTGCAGAAAATGTGTGCTCACATAAGCTCCGGTGTTCTCGCATGCGCTCACACGCATTCACACAAGCTCGATCATGCACACATTCACACACTGCAGCAAAGGCTGCCACTGCTTCTGTGCCAGGTTCAGAGCTTGGCGGTTGCTGAGGGCGGATGTTGGCTCACAGCATCCAGTCTAAAGGGGCAGATGTGGCAGGTAGTTACCAACCTGAGATCAGTGCCATTAAACAGCCATTGCTGCTGGGCATTTGGGCAGTGCCTTACAGCAGCCCATAAGACACAGGGGACGCAGGCAGATGGGCCAGTCTCCGGCTCCTCCCCACTGAATGGACATAGGGCGAGAGGAAAACTTACTTTCCTGTATTTATTATAATGCCTGACACCAAATGTACAGGTTTTCCTCACCAAGTAATTCTCCAGTTCTCTGCAGACACCAACTGGTTGTCCTGTAACTTAATTCTGACACTAACTGCCCGGCCTTAGGGCAGACCCGTAGGCTAAGGGCTCAGTCCCACATGACCGCCCAATTTCGGACCCAAGCCACAAGTCCAGGATGCCAGCTACAGATTGGGGTTCCCATGACTGACCACCTTGGATTCCATAATTAGGAAGGCTCACGGAACTTAGGGACATGCTTTATATATGTTCACTGGTTTACTATAAAGAATACAGGTGGTATGCCCAGGCCGGTTTGGCTCAGTGGTGAAGCATCGGTCTGCGGACTGAGGGGTCCCGGGTTCGATACCAGTCAGGGGCATGTACGTTGGTTGCGGGCACATCCCCAGTGGGGGGTGTGCAAGAGGCAGCTGGTCGATGTATCTCTCTCATCAATGTTTCTGGCTCTCTATCTCTCTCCCTTCCTCTCTGTAAAAAAATCAATAAAATATAAGTCAGAAACAATGGAATTAAAAAAAAAAAACACACACAAAAAGAATACAGGTGGGGGGAAGGAGGGGAGAAAGGAAAGGAAAGGGAAGGGAAGGGAAGCCTTATCAGGTTTGGCTAGTGGATAGAGCATATGCCTGCGGTCTGAAGGGTCCTGGGTTCGATTCTGGTGAAAAGCATGTACCTTGGTTGTGGGCACATCCCCGGTAGGGGGTGTGCAGGAGGCAGCTGATCGATGTTTCTCTCTCATCCATGTTTCTGGCTCTCTATTCCTCTCCCTTCCTCTCTGTAAAAATCAATAAAATATATATTTTTTAAAAAGGATACAGTGGGGGTCTCTTCCCCCTCCCACGTGGGAGCCAGTTCCGTGGGACTCTTCCCTCTCTCTACATGGGCGTCTGTACTTGTTCTTCAATACATCTCCATCTTTGCTGTACCACTTTTCTGTCCGTGGATCCATTCTTCAATTCCATCGGACAAAGAATCCGTGTTCCAGTCCAAAAATTTGGTATCAGCAGGAAGAGCAAGTATCAAGCATTCTTGCCGAAACGGGTTTGGCTAAGTGGCTAGAGCCTAGGTCCCAGGTTCGATTCCGGTCAAGGGCATGTACCTTGGTTGCAGGCACATCCCCAGCAGGGGGTGTGCAAGAGGCAGCTGATCAATGATTCTCTATCACTGATGTTTCTAACTATCCCTCTTTCTTCCTCTCTGTAAAAAAATCAATAAAATATATATAAAAAAAAGTATCAAGCATTCTTTTCTGAAGATTCTCTCACCTCTGCATCAAGTGAGGAAAACAAACTAACAAAGAAACTCCATGACCTCGCCACTTGCTAAAGCTCACAAGTCATCCTGTCTTTTTGTTTTTTTGTAAAACAAACAAACCAGACCCCTCAGATATAACTTCATTTTCCACCCCCCCTTTTTTAATTTATATTTTATTGATTTTGTACAGAGAGGAAGGGAGAGAGAGTTAGAAACATAGACGAGAGTCATCCATCAGCTGCCTCTGGGGATGTGCCTGCAACCAAGGTACATGCCCTTGACTGGAATCGAACCTGAGACCCTTCAATCCCCAAGCCGACGCTCTATCCATTGAGCCAAACCGGTACCAGCATTCCCCCCCATTTTTTTTAAGTTTAAAATTTATATGGGTTTTTGGCTGATCCAGGATTAAATTATGTTTACTTGCCCCATGTGAGGTTCCACCTTTGAGTCCAGGAGTTACTGTAGTAACCAGCCTAAAGGAACATTGACCAATCAGAGGGGATATCAAGGCACCAGGATCTGCAGCCTTTATCAGCCACAGGGAAAAAGGAACTCAGTGGGGCTCTCCCCACACGGGCGTCTGTACTTGTTCTTCAGTAAGTCTCCACCTTTGAGATATATATATAAAGAATACAGGCGGGAACAACAGGTAGAAGAGACGCATGGGGAGCTGTGGGAGGATTTGGGGCTCCCATGCCCTCTCCAGGAGCACCACCTTCCCAGCACCCCCACGTGTTCACCAAACCCCTTCATTTAGGGTTTTTATGGAAGTTCCATTACACAGGCTGGTTGGTTAAGTCATTGGTCATTGGTTGACCAGCTCAGTCTCCAGCCCCTCAACCTCCACGGAAGTCAGGAGCAGGGAAGAAAGTTCCAAGCTCTGGATAATCACATATTATTGTATATATAATCACATATATAATCATATATAATCACATTCTCCTCTGGCAACCAGCCCTCATCCTCCAAGAGTCACCTCATTGTGTAAACCAGCTAAGCCTGGAAGGGGCTTGTTAATAACAGCAAATGGTTCCAGCTTCCAAGCGACATAGCGAGACCTCCCACCATCGCGGACCAGGTCCGGTGGCATTCCCACCCTCGCTGCCGGCTCAGCCGCTGGACCCGCCTCTCCCAGGCTGCAGGGGCGGCGCACGCATTATGACATTTTTTGAGCAAGGGGGAGGTTGCGTCATAAACTCCTAGGTCTCGCGAGCCACACAGAACCAACAAGCGCCGCTGGTGTAGTGGTATCATGCAAGATTCCCATTCTTGCGACCCGGGTTCGATTCCCGGGCGGCGCACTTAGTCTTTTCATTTTTATTTTTTTTCTTCCCCCCATCTCAGAAAGCTGTCGGTGACAGCAGGAATTTCCAGACGAGAGAAAACCCGTGCAAGCACGAACGAGGCCATTTCTGAGTCACAAGTGCTATGAAAATGTTAGGGCAGCCACGGCGACGGAGTGCTGAGCTGAGGAGCACCTACACACCAGCGACCCAAACTCTCCGCCCGAGTCACCGCAGGGGCAGCGGCTCCCTAGGCGCCTCCGGATGATGCGGGCCCTTTAAGCTGCTGCACCGGACCTCCTGGGAACTGTAGTCCGTGGGGGAATGCTTCGCGGAGGGCGGGCTTCCCGACTGCCTGACTACAACTCCCGGCGGGCCTTGCAGCGGCCGCTCTGGGAGGACCAGCTGGGGCGTCGCGATGCTTTTGGCTGCGGCCGCCGAGCGGAACAAGGAACCAATTTTGCGCGTTCTGCGGCAGTATTTGGACCCGGCTCAGCAAGGCATTCGCGTGCTTGAAGTGGCCTCGGGCTCCGGCCAGCATGCGGCCCACTTCGCGCGGGCCTTCCCCCTTGCAGAGTGGCAGCCGTCTGACGTGGACCAGCGCTGCTTGGACAGGTGCGGGGAAGACGGGACCCCGGGTGATCAAAGTGGGCCTCGCCCTGCCATCCCCGCTTCTCGAGCCAATGTGACTGCTGTGAGCGCGGTTGCACAGGCCACCCCCACTCACGGGCTGCCCCTCCGACAGCATCTCGGCCACCATTCAAGCCCAGGGATTGTCCAACGTGAAGGCTCCGCTGTACCTGGACGCGACCTGGGGTTGGGAGAAATGGGGCGGGATCCTGCCGCAGTCGCTGGACCTGCTGCTCTGCATCAACATGGCCCATATCAGCCCCCTGAACTGCACCGAGGTCTGTGAGGGCGGAAGCGAGCCACCCCCAGGACCAGTACCTGCCCCAGGGGGCACCCTTCCCCCTGCATTGGGTGCCAAGTTTGCCCCATTTCATAAGGCACTGAGGCCTGGGGAGTTCAGGTTGAGCCTCCAACCCCCCAGCCCAGAGCTCTGTTGGAGGCCTGGGTAAAGTTCCTCACTGCCCTCCTGCCTCTCCCTCCCTAGGGCCTCTTCAGAGCAGCAGGACACCTGCTCAAACCCAAGGCGCTGCTCATCACCTATGGGGTGAGTGCTCCTGCAGGGGATGGAATTCCCCTGGCCCTGTGATCCCAACCAGCCTCAGCCGTCCTCTCTTTTCTAGTCTCCTTCCCTCCTGTCTCAGGATTTTCCTTTGCCCTCTCCCCTGCTACCTGCCACCATTGAAACAGACCCAGACCTTCCCCCGTCTCCCCACACCCCCTAGGCTCATGGGAGCAGGGAGAAGTGTGCCTTTTCATCCTCTGGGCACAGCCTGGAAGTCTGCCCAGTGGCTGGCTGACCCTGGGGCTGTGGGCAGAGCTGTGTCCCTCTGTCTCCACAGCCCTACGCTGTCAATGGGAAGATCTCTCCCCAGAGTAATGTGGACTTCGACCTGTCGCTCAGATGCAGGTTAGAGCTGGTGGTGCGAGGCCTTACTTGGGAAGGCAGGTTAGTTGGGCGACTCCTAACTACCTCTTCCCCCCGCAGGAACCCAGAGTGGGGGCTGCGGGACACGGCCTTCCTGGAGGGCCTGGGCCAGGCCAACGGCCTTCTCTTGGAGAAGATGGTAGGTGGGAAGGCCTGGGGGACTGGGTGGCCTCCCTGGTAAGCTTCTCCAGCCAAAGCAACTCTCCTAGGTGGATATGCCAGCCAACAACAAATGCCTGATTTTCCGGAAAGAGTAACCCTTCTCCCTGCATGCCTATGTCCTCGGTGAGGCCTCTTCTGGGACAAACCCAGATAGCCAGCTCCTGCCTTCCTGGACCGGGCCATGCAGATTGGCCTTGCCCATTCTGGGGGCTCTCGGCCAGTGGCCACAGGGCTGCAGAGAGCCTGGGAATAAAGTGTTTCCTGCTATCCTATTGCTGGTGCCACTACGCCTCTTCCTGGGAGCACCCTAGATGGGGCTGGGTGTTCAGGCTGTCTCCAAGGGCTGCATTCCTGGGGGCAGGAGAGGCCTGGCCTATGGGGTCAGGGTGTATGGACATCCTAGACCCGGCTGTTCCACTTGCACAGCAGAGAAGGGAGAAGACAGGGGCTGCTGAGGCAGGACCGAACTGGTTGCGTGGTCCTCCTGCCACCAGAGGTGGCACCCACCCCTGGACCTAGTCCTGGCTTGTGCTCTTGGAGGGAGACAGGAGTCTCCCCAGGAGGGAACTAGTGCTCCATGGTGACCGTGGACTAGAGCCTGAACACCAGTGTGGAGGCGGGACCCAGCTGGATTACAGGTTGGATGGAAGAAGGATGGTAACCCTGGGAGGCTCAGCACCAGCAGCCATGATGTCTCTCCTGGGAAATGCTTTTATTGGGGGGGTGGGAGGGTGAGAGGCAGGGACTGGGCGGGCTGGAGGACAGGGCAGGCAGTGCTCTAGGTCGGTGGGGCTAGTCCTGGAAGCGGTTGAGCAGCTCGCAGGCCCTCTTCTCCAGCAGCTCCGAGATCTTCTTGATGCGCTTCTCGCTGGCGATACGGACGTAGCTGCCAGCATCCAGGACAGCCACACCGTCTCGCACTTCCCCCATAATGACCAGCGGACCATCGCCTGCTGTCACATTGGGGCAGGGGCAGGCCCAGTCCATGCCACTCAGGGTCACCTCCAGGTACTTGGTGCCCAAGAACCTGAGGCCCATCTTGTCATCCTTGAGCACATCGTCTAGGGCCACACGGGCAATGCTGCCGCCGCCAGCCTCGGACTCCTCCAGCACCTCTGTGAGTCGCCCTACGATGGCAAAGTCACTGCGGCACAAGCTCAGCGCCAGCTTGCTCCTGAGGCGGCAGGCCCGGCAGGGCGGCATGCGCGGCACGGGGCAGGCATCCTCACAGCTCTCTTGGCTCTCAAAGCTGTTGCCGTTGCCTTCACAGCCACCGTACACGAAGGGGTGGCACTGCTGTAGCAGTGGGCTGTAGGCCCAGCGTGGCTCCCAGCCTTGGCAGGGGCCCTGCACGGCTGGCAGCACACAGTTATCCCCTGGCCCGTGGGCACAGGCTTGCTGGCACTCCTCATAGGTCTCAAAGCCCTGGGTGCCTCCGTCACAGCTGCTAACTTGGAAGGTCATGCAACCCCCCCGCTGTGGATCGAAGTGCCAGAGGACATGGCTGGAGAGGGGGCTGGCACAGGCCTGCGCTTGGGGCAGGCACTCAGCAGGGGCGCCGGGGGCCCCGTCCCTGGGCGGATCCCGCTGGACCACAGAGAGGGGGAAGTCGGCCCGCAGCAGGCCGGCGGTGTTGCGGGCGGTGCAGGTGTAGAGGCCGGCGTCCTCAGGCCGGGCGTTGTAGAGCACCAGCTGCCCGATGCTGGTGACCACCACATTGCCATACATCTGGTCCGGCCGCATGATGAGGTTCTCCCGCTGCTCACTCTGCTTCTCCCAGGTCACGGCGGGCGGCGGGCGGCCACTGACATCGCAGTGGAGGCTGGCGGTGCCCCCCACATACACCACCTGTGGGGAAGGGTTGCTGTAGAGGGCAGGTGGCACCGGGGTGTCCCCGGGTGTCGGGCGGGCGGTGGTCTCAGGTGGCCCTGGGCTGCTGGGCGGCCAGGTGAGGATGTGTTTGCAGGGCACGACGTGCAGGTGGAGGCCACGCAGGCAGGCCTCCGCATCCATGTAGCAGCGGTTGTAGTAGGTGAGGCCATCTGAGGCACAAGTGAAGCTGGGTTCCTTCTCACAACGGTCACGGCAGCGGCACACAGGCTGCCCGTCCCAGATGTCGCAGTCTGAGCCCTGCTGTGGGCATGAGAAGCCCTCGCACGAGGCCACCAGTGCAGGTGTGGCCAGGCCACCCTCAGGGAATCGGGCAGCCACACAGCTCTGCAGCCCACACACGTTGGTGCAGCACTTCTCGGTGGTCAGGCAGTCCTGGAAGGGGGTGGGGGGGTGGGTGAGGGGGAGCTCAGCAGGCAGTGGAACACTCCCGGCCTCACATGGGGCTCTGGCATTGCTAGGTTGGGGTGCCCCTACTGCAGCTCCCTGAGCCCGTTTTCCCTCTGGAGAGCCCCGCAGGCTTGCACACATTTCCATCCAGTGCTATTCCAGTTACCTCACTGATAAGTCCTGTGTGTCACCTCACTGAATCCTCAGATCCCCACCCCTCAAAGCAGGTTTAATCATTATTCCCGTAGTACAGAAGAAGAAACCGAGGCCCAGGGAGGATGGGCAGCATGCTCAAGGTCACTTCAGGGGATGCATGGCCAGGCCAGCCTGCAAAGGGGCATCCACACAGCCCCTGCCTTTCTCCCTGGCTGGTCCTGAGAACCACCAACCCCAGGGTCTGATGGGCGATGAGGGTCAAGAGGAATGTTCCTTAAGACCCTCACGGGAGCATGGCCTGAAACCCCCTGTGGGAGAAGAGTAAGGAGACTCCAAAGGCTGGGGGTCAGGGGTAGGACCTGGGCTCCCCCCGTGCCACCCTAATTCCCTGGGACTCCCACCGGGGTGGGTGGGGGTGGAGCCACACTCACCTGGTCCCCGGTGCACTCGCGCTCACAGGTGCTCTGGGCGTCCACCCACAGGTTTGGGCTGAGCTGGTTGGGGCACACGCCTGAGTGGCTTCTGGGCCCCTGCAGCAGGCTGGCCCCTGAGGTCAGCCCAACCATGAGCAGCAGCAGCAGAAGCAGCCTCTGGGCTGACATGGGGACCACCGGCCCAGAGGGTGGGGGTGTGTGGCTGCCAGCCCTTCAGGCCCTGATCCCTTCAGGCATCCACCCTCCCAGGCCTGTGGTCAGCACCCTGACCATGGGCCCCTGACCGATCCTCTGGGCTCCTCGTTGGCTCCCAAGGCCTGAGCCACAGCAGATGCTCCCTCTAACAGTCTTGTGATTCCAGATCTGAGTTCTGGCAAGACCCCTTCCCAGCCTGGCTCTCTGTGGTTAAGAGGGCAGGGGGCGTGGTGGGGGAGGGGCTGAGGCCCAGGAGCAAGGAGACACTGGCCACCAGCGTAACTGAGGGGCGGAGAAGGGCTGGCTGTGGTCAGAGTGGGGAGGGTAGGGAACACTGTAACTGGAGGCCCTCCCCCCTCCAGGCTCCGGGCTCAGGGGATCAAAGCAGCCTCACAGACCCTCCCAGCTTGGATTCAGGACCCGGAAGGAGGGGGAAGGGAGATCAAACACAGGGACCGCCAGAATCTGCCCTCCCAAACCCTTTCCTGGGGTCTGGGGCCCCAGGAGCATCTGCTTTAAGACTGGATGGAAAACGTCCCATGACCCTGCGTCTGACCTTCTGACCCAGGAGGCAGGGTAATAAGAGCCTGGTCTGGTCAGAATGAGACCAAAAGACACCCCAGGTGCAGAGGACGCCATTGATCTGCCCTGGGAGGGGGCCTCAGGCATGGGGGCCAGTGGGCCAGACTTTGGACGGGGCTCAAGGCCCAGAACCCTCCCACAAGCTGTAGCCTGAGGTGGGGGTAATGTGCAGTGAGATGGTCCTGGGCTGGAGTGTGTGTCAGGGGACGGCCCACCGTCTCCACCAAATCCCTGCTCCGTGCTCACCGCCCTCCCAGGCAGCAGTGAACCCGAGTGGTTATGCCCCACCAAAGCCCCAGGGAGGGCTCAGCTTCCCAGGTTCAGGATCCCAGACTCCAGCCTTTGGGGGCAGCGGGGAACAGGTGATCCCGCCAGCCATCTGCTTTACTGCCGCACAGGGAAGCACAGGCTGGGAGGGCTGCCTGCCTCACCAGAGAAACAGCTCATCCCAGTATCCAGGGAGGCTGGTGCAACCACTCTTGGCCCCAGGGGCCACGATGTGTACCCGTCAACAAGACTAGTTATAGGGGTGGTGCGATTGACAAAGCAGCCCTGGACCCATCATGTGTGCAGATCCATCCCACTCCTCCAACTAACCAGCCAGTTAAAACCAGAGACTTTAATTCACATAAAATGTAGCCTGGAGGTCAGAGCTTACATTTACTGTACAAAGAAACAAAAACCGTCCAAAATGAGCTCAGGAATGGTGCGAGTGTCAGCAGCAAAGGGTAGTGTTTATGTGGTGAACGCGGGACCGTCCACACCCTCACATCAAAGTCCATGTTATTTGGTTCAGAATACAAAGAAAGGGGCTCCGTTGGCAGGACAGGACAGGCAGGGCCTCCTTTGCCTGACCCTGCTGGTGGCGAGGCCTTGGGCAGGGCCCCAGGCACCGCTGCTCACAAGGGCCACAGACCCCTGCCCAGCTGCCTCCCGGAACAGCAGGCACAGGCTCCTCCACAGAGTCAGGGGATCTCAGGCCCAGGGGAGCCCAGCAGGAGGTAGAGTCGAGCACCAGTGTGACTGGTGGTCATGTCACCAGCCAGGCAGGTGGAAGGAATGAAGGCCTCCAGCCCAGGGTTGGCTGCCAGATCATGGAGGAGGTCCACTGCTGTGACTGCTCCAGGTGGCGTCACTAAGAACTGGGTTCTGGTGACATGTGCCTCAAAGAGGGGCGATGCCAGGTGAGGAGCAGCTATGGGGTGATAACCAAGGTCAGGGAACAGAAGCTGGCAAAAGTGGGGTCCAGGCGCCCTGAGGCAAGTGGGCCAGGACTCAGTCCAAAGCTGCAGAGCACCTGGCAACCCCTCAAGTATGCATTGCCCACAGACAGCTCTGCACCTTCACACACGGGTGCAGAGTCCATCTCACAGCAACGTGTAAAAGTGTCTCCACTTCTCTTTTCCCAGAAACATTGACCTTCTGCTTGGAGTCCACGGCTCCATGACACACAGGAACATCACCCCACTGTGCAGACTGCCGGGCCCACCCCCGCACCACTGACCAGTACTGTGTGGTAGGCACAACACTCAGAGAGGCTGGCACAGGGAGCGGGGTCCAAGAGTGCTGCCCAGAGCTGCATGTGCCCCCCTGGGCCTGCAGTCCACACCCATGTGAAGTGTGAC